TCCTGCAACCCCCTGACTCTTCCCTCGCCCCATGATTTCTCCACCACCTCCCTACACCCCTCATCATGTAGCCATGCCATCTCAAAACGAAAACCCTTTCTTCGAACACCCGTCCTTCCCCGAAGATTGAGAATCCCAAGGAAAAGGAAGGAATGATCTGATTTTCGGGTTAATATATTCTGTACATTTGCATCAATCACCAAGTCTCTCCAGGTTTGAGTAGCCAAAACCTTATCTAGTCTTTCCTCTATCCAGTTCAGTGTGCCTTTACCTTTTTCCCAAGTGTAGGGATATCCAGACATTGGCAACTGCGTCAAACCACACTCTTCAATTGTTTCTCCAAACCCCCGTAGCAAACTGTCTGGATGGGGATTTCCTCCCCGTTTCTCATACTGATATAAGAGATCGTTAAAATCTCCAATAATCACCCATGGCAGATCCGATCTACTAGCCAACGATCGAATAAGGTCCCACGACTCCCTTCTCTGCGGACGCTTCGAGAAGCCATAAAACCCAGTCATCCTCCACTTAGCAAACCCTGGCACACTCACCTCCACATCTATGTGATTATTTGAATAACCCATTATTCTTGCAATATCATTCGTTCTCCACAACAATGCCAGTCCTCCACTCAATCCAGAATTATCCACATTAAAAAGGCCTTCGAAACCCAGCTTAATCCGAAGTCGCTCTGCATGATCTCGGTTAACCTTGGTTTCTATCAGAAATACAAAATCGGGTTTCTTGCGGGACACTACGTCCTCAATCTCCCGAACTGTCCGTGGATTACCCAAGCCACGGCAGTTCCAGCTCAATGTACTCATTGGGTCGGGCGGGTCTGCACCGCAGCACCCGCCATCTGCAAGTTTTTTTGAACATCGGACATTGCTATATCCTCTCCCATCACCACTCCCTCCCTCACCCGATTTCCCCCACCACCCTCAATCCCAGAATTTGCCAAATGTGAGTTGCCTGGCTCAATATTCACCCCCACTTCCACTCCACCACCAACCTCCCCATCGACTCTACGCCTCTTCGGGTCCACCCTAACTCCCTCTTCCTCCCCCATTACCCCCTTCTCTCTCGCCATCCCCTCCTGATCATCACCATTCTCCCTCACGTCATTACCCACCGCAACCCTCCCTCTCACTCCAGCAGTAGCCAGCCCACTCATGACTACCGTACCGTGTCCGTAACCCCCTACACCAAACCCAATTTCTTTCCTTCGTTCTTGCCCCATTTTAAACCATTTATCACCCAATGTCTTGGCCGGATTATTACCGCCCGCTCTCATAGCCGCACCAAATAAATATTGATCCGGTGTTAATAACGAACGACGAGCAGCTAAACAGAATTTATCAGTATGCCCCATCACACCACAAAAAAAGCAGAACATATGCAACCATTCGTACTTGAAATTTACCCAGACCCACGTTCCATCCCTCATAATCATCTTCATGCGTCGTTTCAACGGGACCGAAACATCATGTGTTATACGTATTCGATGGAATGAAGTCCACGGCCTTTCAAAATTACGTTCATCACAACGTAAAAACACTCCCGCAAAATCCCCAATCCGCTCAAGCACTTTTACAGTTCGGTATCCCAATGGAATATCATAAACCTGCAGCCAGAAATCCACCGTGTTGAGTACTACCTGCGTCGGATCTTCCCCATCATTCAGCACCTGGCAAAGAAACGTTGCGTTTTCAAACGCCCAAGGACCTTCCTCCAACACCCGACGCATGTCCGTCTCGTCAAAGAATGTAAAGAGATATAAGTTCGGACTAACATCCGTAATCTCAATTCCCATCAATGGCCGCCATGCCGAGGCCATAACCCGTTTCATCACCTCCACCTTCAGAATTCGGTCAGTTAGGAATCTGCCGACTAACGTCCATGTGTGACGTTCTTGTTGTGGAACCGCAATCGTATATCCTTCGTCCTCAAACCGTACGCCCAGTTCCTCGTCATCCAAGCTCATTTCCGCAGTCGATGCAGTGATGTCTCTTACATCCATGGCTTTTTCGCCGGTGTTCGACCGGACTAACGCAGCAAGAAAACCGTCGGAACCCTAGATCTCAGGGGGGTAGGGAGGAAACCCTAGTTTTCAGGGAGAAATTTGAAAAGTGAATTTGAACCGTCTTTATTTTAAAATAGTCTAAATTCAACAATAAATGTATTTTTTTTTTCAGTTCGGAACATGAACCGACTATTCCGATTTGTGATTTTAATAAAATCTAAATATCGTGTTTCGATTCTAAATTGTAATTAGAATATTTCGTTTAGTTACTATAGTGTCTGTTCGATTTGAACCAAGTCGTGGTCATAATTTGTTGGAGAAAAAAAATAAAATATTTATTTTAAGAGTAAATATGTCCATTGAACATTTTAGGGGGAAAAACAGTCACTTGAATAATTCAAAAAAAAAAATGATATAAATACATAACTCAGGGAAGAAAAATGTCATTTTCCCGTTTCTCTATTTGCTAGGACTATAGTCATCAATACAGTCTTTAACATTTGGTCCCGTCAGTCCGGAATACGGAATGAAAGAAAAAGAAAAGACATTCAAATAGTCAAACATTTGGTAGAGGTAGGTAACAATGCATTAAATATTTTAAAATTTAGATCTGCCAATTTAACAGAAATCCTAGTTCCATTTGAATTTTGAATTTTATTTATTTATTTTACATAACAACGGGTTCAAACAACTCAAGTACTGGGTTTTAATACATAAAATGGATTAAGATGTAATATTTGATTAAAATTTTAAAAAACAAAGTAACTTTGTATGGTTATTGATATTATTGTTAAGTATTTAGTCAAATATCCTACTGCAAATGCCTATACATTGTAGTTGGGGTAACGTAATAAAAATACAAATACTAAGAGTCGATAAATATGAAAACGCTACGCCTGTTTCTAGCATATAGCCATATTAAAAACTGAAGATCCTTGAACCCCATTCTTCCAGCTTAGTTTGGGGCGCATAACTAATAAGAGTCTAAATGTTGATATTTTTACCTTACATTTAAGCTTATTTTTCTTGTTATTTGCTATAATTTTGTCAAAAGTGTCCCTCATTTGATTCATTTGTGTGTTTATGTGTAATTCTCAATGGTTTAGACGATGAATTGAATGATTTTTGGGACATTTCGAATGCATGTAGAGTCAATGGGAGCCAACGAGAAGCTATGAAGATGGAGACAACACCTCTTAGAGAGTGGTGTGTTTAGTGGTCTTGGTCATTTAATTTGGACAAACAAAGGCAAAAGTGGAGCAAAAGAGCAAGAAGTTGAAATTCCCGCACAAATCGTCCAATGCTCAGTATTTTGGTCATATCTCTGCGTAAAAATATCCAAATCAAGTAAATTTTATATCATTGGAAAGCTAACTTGAAGGGATACAACTTTGATGAATACCACAAATGCTAATTCAAAAGTATCGAGGGTGCAATATTTCCTAGAAGACGGACATAGTGCACAAGATGGCAACCAGGCAGTGTACACTGCCTGGTGGCCACGGATGTGGCCACGCCCGTGGCCGCTGGGCAGTGTGCCCTATTTCTGGCCACGGGTGAAGCCACACCCATGGCCAACGTCTGCAACACATTACATTGCGAATTTGGCCCTTTAAAATGGAATTTTTCCACCCCAAAAATATATCTTTCATTTTCCTTTCATTTCTCTAGTTAGAGTTTGTTTAGAATAGCTTAGATTAGTGTACATTACTTGTTCCTTTCCATTTCCAAGCTCAAGAACATTACAAATCTTAGCTTGGATTTTAAAGCTTCAATAGAGAAGTTTTCTTATTCATCTCTTCTCTTTACTTTTCATCTATGCTTTCAATTACTCTTTGAATATTTTGTATCTATTGTTATATTATGAGTAGCTAAGTGTTTTGGGACTAGGATTTGGTTTGATTTCTTGCTATTGATGCCTATTTGAGTTGTATTGCATAAATGAGATTATTTGGATAGGGTTGTGTGAAATGAGTTTGTTGAGAAATTTGTGTATGATTGTCGGACCCCAATTAGATGCTTGATTTGGAGTGTGTTTGTTGCTACGAGAGTAGAGCTTGTACACTAGCCACACATTCACACACTTAATACCCAATACGAGGGTACTTTGGGTGTTAAGGGAAATCTTTGCCTTGTGTTCTTGTTTCGGCATCCTTGGGTTGAATTTTCACGAGAGTGGAGTTCAATGTGAGGTTGCAAGTCCAAATAGATACGAGAGTGGTATTTGGACACTTTTGTGCATCTCACTTACCCTATGCCTTGATTTAATTCCCTAATCTTTAGTACAATATTTGGCATCTTAGTTTGAATCAACCAAATCATGGTCCTTTGTTTTACTTGTCTTATTTGTTATTTGTTTAATCATATCAAACAAATTCCTTACCCGATAGGTCTAGCTTCTAACAGAATAGTTCTAGCTTGTGCTTAACTCCACTTTGCATCAATTCCTATCATTACAAGAACCATCTACAGTGGAACGATATCTAAACTCTATACTGTGATTTGATACTTGATGCATGTGTGAAAATCGTCTTTATCAATAACAAATCATATGTCATCCAGTGAATACCTCTTCCATTAACTCCACCCGAGCCCCACCAATACCGATTCATAGTTCTTTCTAACGCCACACATAGGAATCAGGAAGGAAAAAGACACTCATAGAGAAAGTAAACATAGCTTGGACCACACTTTCCAGTAAAATTTCCTTACCTGCCTACGATAGGAGCCGCTTGTTCCAAGCACCAATCCTTTGTCTGATCTTATCCTCAATATATATACGAGAAAACCAGCCTTTTGTTTTTTTCCTACAAAGGAAGGCAACCCCAAATATTTCTCAAAATTAGCAGCTTGAGTAACACCCAAATCCGCCACTACATTTTCCTTGTACCCTTCTACTGTGTTTATGCTAAAGCACACACTAGATTTATGAAATATTGACAGTCTGACCAGAAAGGTTCTCATACGTCTGAAGGCACTACTTGACCACTCCTGGTTCTTGCACATTTACTTTAAAGAACAATAGGCTATCATCAGCAAATAATAAATGTGATATCGTTGGGGCACCTCTCGCCACTCTATAACCATGAATGAACCCTTGGGCCTGAGCATGTTGTAGCAAAAGTGAAAAACATTCAACACAAATTATAAAGAGATAAGATGACAAGGGATCACCTTGTCAAAGACCACGGGAGGGGGGGACCTGGCCACTATTGACACCATTCACCAAAATATTGTAAGAAACCGACGTTACACACTTCATTACCAAATCCACCCATCCTCCTGCAAATCCCAAAGCCTCCAACATACAACGCAAGAAAGACCACTCCATCTTATCATAAGTCTTTTCCATATCTAATTTCAAAGCTCCCCAGCCAACCTTCCCACACTGCTTTCTGTTCAGATAGTGACCAATCTCAGCTGCTACAAGAATATTATCAGTGATTAGCTTACCAAGAATAAAAGCACTCTGAGATTCAGAAATCACATCACCTAATAATGGTTTCATTATGTTAGCAAGCATGTTGGTCATATTTATATATACCACATTACAGGTAGCAATAGGCCTTAAATCAGACACCAATCCAGACACTTTCTTTTTTGGAATTAGGACAACATTGGAATCAAAATGGTAATGAGAATCAAATAATTGGCAATGTTAATGGGTTTAAGTCGAATGAATAACCTCGTTTGATAGTAAATAGGAATTGGAATTAAAACAAACAAATAATTAATTAATTAAAATAAAAATGAATAAATATTTAAAAAGATATAATAAAGATATATACATATACATATATGTGTATATAAATTAAAATTCTATATTTAATGCATGGACAATGACTTATTTATTTATTTTTTCATTTTTCATTTTTATTTTTGATTCCATTGTTCAAAAGTAGATGAGTAAAAGGGTAATTGATTTTGTAATTACTAAAGGATTTGATTCTAATAGTAAGATAATGAGAATCAAAACTCATGCCTGCATGGGTAACTCAACTGATCACAGAGGTGAAAGTTTGAAAAAATGATAATCAAAACTCATAACACGGTGCAAAAGTCCCTAACCAAACAACCCCTTAATTTTCATTGATAAAGTTAAGTCAAGTTTTTTTTTTAGTATAAAGATAAGTCAAGTTTAATTATTCACCTCCTACATATATTTTGGGATGGAGGAGTAACATTTTTTTTTTTTTTTTTTTTTTTTTGTAAACTACGGATTGATTTTTAACTTTTTTGCTGCTGATGACGTAGAGTTGAACACTTACATATTTTTCTTCTTTGTTGCTTGTGTGTGTGTTTTTTAAAAAAATTATTTGTGGTTTTATTCATTATTATATGCCTTTTCGTTTTCTTTATTTTCTCTGTTTGCTAGGACTATAGTCATCAATACAATCTTTAAATGAACCGAAATACGGAATGAAAGAAAAAGAAAAGACATACAAATAGTCAAAACATTTGGTCCCGTCAGTGATCAGAATTTAAGAGAGGTAGGTAACAATGCATTAAATATTTTAAATTTAGATCGGCCAATTTAACAGAAACCTAAAAGTTCCATTTTAATTTTGAATTTTATTTTGTTTCAAAAAAAAAATTTTGAATTTTATTTATTTACTAGTATTTTTTTATACGCGATGCGCAAAAAATAGGTACCCAATATTAGTACATTATATTAAAATTTTAAATTTATTTAGATTTTACATATTTAAATTATTCTAAATAATAATAATAATAATAATAATAATAATAATAATAATAATAATAATAATAATAATAATGTAAATCATTTTTATAAATTTGATATTTATATTTTAGGTAATAATTAACATATAACTCAAATATATAATGTGTATATATATTATTATTAATGAAGAAGATAAGAAAATATATGGTGGATGCATGTGCATGGTAACAATAGTGGAAAAGATAACGGAAGTTATAACGGTAGGGGTATGTTTGTCCAAAATATTTTAATGTACAACTTCTATAGCATAATGTACAAAAAAACTTAACGAAAAAACGGGCATAAATGAGGGGTATGATTTTTATTCACACTTATTATGTTTTTAGATTTTACATAACAACGGGTTCAAACAACTCAAGTACCGGATTTTAACAAATAAAATGGATTAAGAAGTAATATTTGATTAAAATTTAAAAAAAAAAAAAAAGTAACTTTGTGTGGTTATTGATATTATTGCTAAGTATTTAGTCAAATATTCTACTGCAAATGCCTGTACAGTGTAGTTGGGGTAACATAATAAACATACAAATACTAAGAGTCGGATCCTTATAGTGTCCCGAACTATAATTTATACAAGTATCTTTCATTTCTTCTTGCTTTCTTGGGGAATAATAAGAGTAGTGTTGTGTTTGTCTCATATAAGGATTAGGAATATGAGTTTGTCTCATATAAGGAATAGGAGTGAAAGGGAGATTATATGCCTATAAATATAATCAATGTATCTCATCACTTGTACACCATCACAAATAAAAAGAGAATACTTTCACTCCCGTGGATGTAGGCACATTGCCGAACCACGTAAATCTTGTCTTCTTTATCCTTTACTGCCATTATTATTTTTCTTGTTCTTATTAATCTCAACAAATTGGTATCAGAGCACTGTTGAGATGACCAGTTCAAGCACAAAATTCGAGGTATCAAAATTTGATGGTACAGGGAATTTTGGGTTATGGCAATCTAGGGTAAAGGATTTGTTGGCACAACAGGGTCTTCTGAAAACTTTGAAGGCGGATAAGCCAGCTAATCTGGAAGAGGAAGATTGGGAAGATTTGAAGGAGCGTGTGGCAGGAACCATTCGGTTATGCCTAGACGATGGAATTGTGTATCACGTTATGGCCCTGGAAGCCCCAAAAGAAATTTGGGATAAATTGGAAACTCAGTTCATGGAAAAATCTCTAACGAACAAACTGTATCTAAAGCAAAGGCTTTATGGGCTTAAGGTGCAGGAGGGTTCAGACTTGGTGCATCATATTAATGTCTTCAATCAGATAATCTCAGATCTGGCCAGGCTTGATGTCAAGATTGAAGATGAAGACAAGGCGATGATCTTGCTATGTTCATTACCTTTTTCCTTTGAACATCTGGTGACTACTCTAACATACGGGAAAAGCACGGTTAAATACAGCGAGATCTCTGCGGCCCTGCAGGCTCATAATAAGCGCTTGCAGAGTGTAGGAGATGGATCGTCTGTTGGTGAAAGTTTGTATGCTAAAGAGGGTCAGGATTGTGGAAGGAAACAAGAGAAGGGTAATTCTGGGAGGAAAAACTCTAGGTCTAAGTCCAGAAATAGCAGGAAAATCCGGTGCTACAAGTGTTATGAGATTGGGCACATAAAGAGAGATTGTCCAAAGTTGAAAAAACAACAAGAGGCGGCGAACGTGGTGCATGCTGATGACTCAGATTATAGTGAAGGTGATGTTCTAGCAGTTTCATCGAGTAAGTTGTCAGATGCTTGGATTCTAGACTCAGGATGCTCTTATCATATTACACCTAACAGGGAGTGGTTCACAACCTATAAGTCAGGTACTTTCGGTTCTGTTTTTCTGGGTGATGATAGATGTCATAATATCATAGGTATTGGTGATGTTAACATCCAGATGTATGATGGTATTGTCAGAACTTTGCATGATGTCAGACATATACCGGGATTAACTAAGAACCTGATTTCTCTTGGCAGTTTGCATGCTAATGGTTTTATTCATAAGTCTGAGAGTGATAAGGAAACCATTAAAATTAGTAATGGTGCTTTAACTGTGATGAAAGGGAAAAGGACCACAGGGAACATTTATAGGTTGTTGGGTAGTACTGTTGTAGGTGGAGCACATTCTGTTGAGTCTAGTGATGATACTACTAGGTTGTGGCATTTACGTTTGGGTCACCTTGGTGAACGTGGTCTGTTTGATTTGCACAAAAGGAATTTGTTAAAAGGAGTTAAATGTTGTAAGCTAGATTTCTATGAGTTCTGTGTCCTTGGGAAACAGACTAGAGTCAGTTTTTCTACTGGGCAGCATAAAACTAAAGGGATTCTGGATTATGTGCATTATGATGTTTGGGGACCTACCAGGGAACCTTCAATGGGTGGCTCTCGATATTATGTTACATTTACTGACGATTTTTCTAGGAAAGTCTGGGTGTATTTCTTGAAACATAAATCTGAAGTGTTTGAGAAATTTAAGTTGTAGAAAGCCGAGGTTGAGAACCAGACTGGAAGAAAAATCAAGTACCTAAGGTCTGACAACGGGACAGAATATACTGAGAAAGAATTTCAGAAATTCTGTGCAGAACATGGAATTCAAAGGCACTATACAGTGCGTAAGACACCACAACAGAATGGTGTTGCTGAGCGGCTGAATAGAACCATTGCTGAGAGAGCAAGGTGTCTCAGATTGAATGCTGGGCTCTCTAAGTGTTTTTGGGCAGAAGCAGTGAACATGGCATGTTACTTGATCAATAGATCACCACGGACATCACTTGGTGGCAAGGTTCCTGAGGAGGTCTGGTTAGGTAATCCTGTAAGTTTTGATCACTTATGAGTTTTTGGTTGTCCTAGCTATGTTCTTATTCCAGGTGATGAGAGATCAAAGTTAGATCCCAAGTCGAAGAAGTGCATCTTTTTGGGTTATAAGAAAGATGTAAAAGGATATAAGTTTTGGGATCCTGCAACCAAAAAGGTGGTGATTAGCAGAGATGCAGTGTTTGATGAGAATTTCATGTTCCAGTCAAAGAAAGAAGATACACTAGTTGATGGTTCTAGCACAGTAGAAGTGGATATGGATCGTGTACCTTTGAGTGAGAAAGTAGTTAATCCACCTACGGTTGAGACTCAAGAAGTTGCAGATTCTACATCTGCAGCAGGTTCGGGTTCAGAAAATTTACAAGATTACAGTTTGGCTAGAGATAGACCGAGACGCACCAATGTCAAACCACCTAGTAGGTATGGGTTTGAGGATATGGTTTCTTTTGCACTTCTTGTTTCTAATAATGATCCAGTTACCTTTCAAGAGGCTATTTCTAGCCAGGAGAAAGATAAATGGATGGCAGGTATGATTGAGGAGATGGAGTCTTTACATCATAATCATACTTGGGAGTTAGCTCAACTTCCTCAAGGAAAGAAGGCTATAGGGTGCAAGTGGGTCTATAGGAAGAAGCCAACAGTATCAGAAAAAGAAGGGGAAAGGTTTAAGGCTAGGTTAGTTGCGAAGGGGTTTTCTCAACAGAAGGGGATAGATTATGATGAGGTTTTCTCTCCTGTTGTTAGACATACTTCTATCAGATTAGTACTTGCTTTGGTAGCCATTTGGGATTTGCATTTGGAACAAATGGATGTGAAAACTGCTTTTTTACATGGTGATCTAGATGAGCAAATTTACATGAAGCAACCTGAAGGGTTTGTTAAACCTGGAGGTGAGCATCTGGTTTGTCGACTCAAGAGGTCTTTGTATGGGCTGAAACAGGCTCCACGGCAGTGGTACAAGCGGTTCGATGCTTACATGATTCAAATTGGCTATACACGTTGTGAGTATGATTGTTGTGTCTATGTTAAAAGCCTTGGTGATGGTTCTTTTATTTTTCTGTTACTGTATGTGGATGATATGTTAATCGCTGCTAAGAGTATGAATGATATTGCTGCATTGAAAGTTTTGTTGGGTCAGGAATTTGATATGAAAGACTTAGGAGTTGCACAGAAAATTCTTGGCATGGAAATTCACAGGGATAGAGGTGCAAGAAAGTTGTGGCTAACTCAACAGAGTTATATAGAGAAAATTCTTGACAGGTTTGGGATGAGTAAGTCTAAACCGGTTAGTACCCCTTTGGCTAATCATTTTAAACTCTCATCCAATCAGTGTCCCCAAACAGTTAGTGAGATTGAAAATATGGCAAAGGTTCCTTATGCTAGTGCAGTTGGTTGTTTAATGTATGCAATGGTTTGTACTCGACCTGATTTGGCTCATGCTGTTAGCCAAGTTAGTAAGTACATGTCTAAACCTGGGAAGCAGCATTGGGAAACAGTTAAATGGATTCTCCGGTACTTAAGGGGCACTATGGAGCATGGTATTGTATTTGGAAGTCAACAGAATGAGCATGTACTCATGGGATATGTGGATTCTGATTATGCTGGTGACATGGATAATAGACGTTCTACAACAGGGTATGTTTTTACTCTTGGGGGTGGTCCTATTTGCTGGAGATCATCAGTTCAGTCTATTGTAGCTTTGTCTACAACTGAAGCAGAATACATGGCTGTGACTGAGGCAGCTAAAGAGGCTTTGTGGCTTTCAGGTTTGATTAAGGAGTTAGGTATTGAGCAAGATGGAGTTCAATTACACTGTGACAATCAAAGTGCCATTTTCTTAGCTAAAAATCAAGTATACCATGCCAGAACCAAACATATTGATGTAAGGTTTCATAAGGCCAGAGAGTTGGTTGCTTCTGGTGAGATTTTGTTGCAGAAAATTCATACAAGTGAGAATGCAGCAGACATGTTGACAAAGGCAGTTACTAGTGACAAGTTCAAACATTGTTTGGACTTGTTGGGTGTTTCCAGATGTTAAATGAACATGGTGGTCCTAATCCAAGGAGACTATGAGATGAGTTTTTTCTCCTAAAGGGCTTATTTGCGAAGGTGGAGATGGTTAGATAAGTATTTTCTCCTAAAGGGCTTATTCGCCAAGGTGGAGATTTGTTGAGTTATCTTTTTCTCCTAGAGAGCATATTCGCCAAGGTGGAGATTTGTTGTGTTTGTCTCATATAAGGATTAGGAATATGAGTTTGTCTCATATAAGGAATAGGAGTGAAAGGGAGATTATATGCCTATAAATATAATCAATGTATCTCATCACTTGTACACCATCACAAATAATAAGAGAATACTTTCACTCCCGTGGATGTAGGCACATTGCCGAACCACGTAAATCTTGTCTTCTTTATCCTTTACTGCCATTATTATTTTTCTTGTTCTTATTAATCTCAACAAGTAGTACACAAACTAATTATGTAACTTGAATTAAGGTGACTTCTTGTTTTTTTTTTTTTGAATGCTACTAGCTCTATTACAATGTAGTATCTGTTCATATACTTTCTCAACCTACTGAAACACAAAGAGCTAATAACGCCTCCACTGAGACTTGAACATACAATCTTCCACATGGAAGTCCAATCCGGGTACCAAGGTGACTTCTTGTTATTCATACTTGTTAGAGGCATCTTCTTCTTCTATTATAATAAAGCAGAATCCATAGTTCCCGCCAATTCCAGCCAACATGTGCATGTTCATTCCCAAGCAAAAAACTGAAATGATTATTATTGGAAATCCGCACAGCCACAACATTTATTTATCATAAAAACATAAATAACATTTATTTAAACATTAATACAATGATTACAGCACCTGGAAAGACGGATAGTTCACTCTCCGATAACAATTAATAATTAATAACTAACAAGTATTAGTTTAACTATAAATACAAACATTTGAGAGCCAATTCCTCAAACGTAAAGTTCTACCAAAATCCTCCAAATTGTCGTCGAAATGGACAAAAGGAGAAGAGCTCCAAAGTTTCATCCAGATGCATAACCCACAATCCAAGATCTACAAAATCCAAAGCCCAGAATTCAAAGGACTTCTATGGCAACTACGTCCATTTCCTCCTTGAACAAATGATGAGTTCCTTGAGTTTGAACCAGTACTAGAAGAAAAAACACTTTGATAAACAGGCATTCCTTTAAGATCACAGCAGATAAATCAGGAGATTAGAAACTGCATCATCCATGAAGAAGTTAAGAAGTTTTACAGTTACTGGCAAAAAGAGGAGACATCTACCTGATACAAAGGTTAGTACACAATGTATCTTTTTTATTTTTTATTATTATTATAAATGCACTTAGAATAACTTATTAGTACAATAAATAAATAAATAAACAGATTAAATTAGTAGAATAACAGAAAACAGATTATTGAGGATGGAGATCACCGCAACATACATAAATCTGAAAACTGCGATGACATGACCTATAACATGGTAAAATATTTTAAAAAATCACGAATTGAGATGTGCTTATCAGAATTGAAATCTCCAAACAACAGTCCAACAACATATAACTGAAATATAGACAACAAATGTAAGTAAATTCATATTTTTGTTCAGAAATTTTTACAATACTAAGAAAAAAGTTGACAGATGCAATATATGAAAAGCAGTACAGATTAGTACAGAGTATTTTACAATACTAAGAAAAAAGTTGACAGATGCAATATATGATGCATTGATGCAATATATGAAAACCAGTAGAGATTAGTGTATTGAATAAATAAGCTTATCTTTTTTGAAGCATAGTCGAATATCTTAGAAAACTGCATGCAATAGAAAAAAGCAAGTTAGTAGGGTATAATCTGAAATTCGAAATACATAGGAAGAAATTGGATGAATTTTGAACTATAAAAAGAAAAATGAAGCTTAGACGTAAATTATATATTGACATTCATCCGTCTTTTCAAATCATTTTTTTTTTTTTGCATTTGTTGTATTAATTAATAATAATAACAAATCCGTGTTTACAAATATAGTTAAAGTTGATTATAGACAATAAATAGTTAACAACAAATTATTTGAATGTTATTCGATCATCTAAAACACAGAAAACAACACATGCACTAGAAGATCTGACAACCAATTAACATAGTCAACTAAAAATCGGAATCATTTTAGGATTATTTAAAAACGATGGTTAATAAAAAATTATTGGCACAAGTGTCAAATAGACCCATCTACTACTGTGAAGTGTTCAATTCCCACCACAAACTAAATTAAGTGTCAAATAGGTTCATCTACCAGCTAAATTTGTTCAATTGACATTTTTTACAGGTTTCTAGCAGGTTGCATATTTAATTATTAAAAATAATAAATAAATAGAATAAAAAATTAAAATAAAATAATAATAAAAAAAAGAATATCAGCTACCGGCTGTCCGACGATATTTTTTTTTAATTAATTTTTTTAATTTTTTATTCTATTTATTTATTTGTTTTTAATAATTTGATAGGCAACGACATGCTAGGAACTTGTAAAAAATGCCAATCGAACAAATTTAGCTGGTAGATGGACCTATTTGACACTTAATTTAGTTCATGGTGAGAATTGAGCACTTCGCAGTAGTAGATGAGTCTATTTGACACTTGTGCCAAAATTATTTCAATGGTATTTGTTCATCTAAAACTACGAAAACAACACATGCAATAGCAGATCTGACAACTAATAAACATAGTCCAAAAAAAATCGTATCAGAGTAGTATGAAAGATCAAAGAACCATCGGAGTACTATGAAAGATCAAAGAACCCCTAACATCCTACAAGTTTTGTTCAAATAAGTGGCATATTCAGGAACAAGTAAAAAAAAAAAAAAAAAAAAAAAAAAAGAATACAATTAGAAGAAATCAAGAAAAAACGGAATCATGGGCAAAAACAAAACCTTGATGAAAATTGAGTCCAATCATGGGCAAAAAATAAACCTTGACGACAATCGAGTCCATAACGAGAGTCAACAACCTTCAGATTGCTCCACTAAACTCCACTCTGCTTAGATAACATTCCAGGTGAACTGGAAAACAACAAATATGTAAAAAAAAATAAATACATAAATAAAATAAAATAAAATACGGGATGTAAAGAAACGTAAACCTAGATTTACAAAAATTCTTCAATGAGCAAAGTGATAGGTACGGAAAAGATCAAACAGAAAATGAAAGATTTTACCGCAGACTGGCGATTCCATTGAAACCCCAAGTTGTCCGAAGCAGCTTAGCTAGGAGATTTTGTCTAAGTAATCTAGAGGGGAGGAGATGAATCGTCAGCAGATATGGTCTAGAGTTTCTTATTGGGTAGTTATAGTTGGGGTATTGAGCTCGGGTTTTGGGCTAAAAATTTAGTGAATCATCAATAGAATTTTGGTTTGGGCTCAGTGTTGAATAATATACTTAATTATATCAATATGAATTTAGGGTCTGATCTGACTACATTTATAGTAATTTTAAGATGAAATTTTTCCAAAATTCTCTCTAAGACTTTCCTCTCCACGTCGACTCTGTTTTGGTAAGTTTCCGTTAAGGGGTATCTTTCCATGGATGTCGCGGCTGCAACGCCGCCGGCAACCTCCTCTCCGGTGGTGGAAGGGGAGGCTGGAAAGTCTCAACCCGCACCCAAGCGGGTTAGAATCCTCAAGAGATCGTTTGCGGAAACTGCTGTGGACTCGACACTGGTGGGAGATGATCCTATGTCGGAGAAAGTGGATGATGATTGGCTAGAAGATGGATCGGTGATGGAACTGGAAGAGACCAAAAGCGTAATCTATGAAGGGGTTCCAGTTGTTAAAATCCCCAAAGAACTTCGAGCGGAACTCGAAAGACCTTGGCACAAGGCCTTGATTCTCAAGTTCCTGGGAAAGCCTACGGCTTTCATGCTCCTGCAACAACGCCTCCTTCGACTTTGGAACACGTCGGGCAAGGTAGAGTTACTGGACGTTGGCATGGGCTTCTATATGGCGAGGTTTGATCTAGCATCTGACTACAGACATGTGTTGTTGGATGGCCCGTGGAAACTGTTCGACTGCTATATTATCCCCCAAAGATGGCGGAGGAATTTTGATCCTCAAACCGCGAAGCTGGAGAGTATGGTGGTGTGGGTTCGTCTGCCAGGCCTGCCAGTAGAACTTTTCCGTGAAGATGTGATCAAAAAAATCCTTGAGCCGGTGGGGAAGACCATTAAAGTCGACAAAACCACGGCGGGGATCGAAAGGGTGAGATTTGCAAGAGCGGCTGTGGAGATCGATCTTCGCAAACCGCTAGGCTCTATGGTGGCAGTTGATGAAGTGCTTCAGAAGGTATCATTCGAAGGGCTTCACGCCATCTGCTTTGGGTGCGGAGAAGTTGGGCACGTCTCGACCAACTGCGCCAAAACCATGACCCCGGAACACTCGAATTCGGACCTCCATGCTGATGCAGGGATGCAGGTTGAAAAATCTGGGCAAGAAGAAGGGCCAAAAGTCATCCAAGTGCCTGAAAAATACGGAGCTTGGATGATAGTCTCGAACAAACATTCCAGAGCCAAAGAAAAGGGGAAGAACAAGGGACCCAAATCTGCCCCTAAATCGCAGGCCCCTAAATCTACCCACGTCGACGGCCAAAAGTCGGCGGCAAAACAGAAGGCTCCGGCGGAAAAAGTTGGTGAACGGAGGAAAGACAAAGGCAAATCCACCACGGCTGCGGCAACGGTGAGTGACCCCTCTCCCTCCTTTTCTGATCCTAATTTGTTCTCTGCTCTACAGGATATTGGTGAGCTGCATGATGCTCCTATCTTCGTGGAAGGAAGAAACAGGAAAAATAAGAAGCCTGGTAAGGCTAAACAAGCTGGAAATAATAATGCAGCTCCTAAACCTACCTGCAACCGTAACTAAAACACGGCTTCGGCCACTTTTACTCCAAAAGAAGTGGCGCCTAGTCATGCAAACGATGAACGTGTCTTCATCTTTGGTTCTATGCCGGAGCAAGAATCAGTTGTCCACCCGACAGATGGACCAGTAACAAATCATTACACGAGGAATACGCGTAAGGAGGGCGGTAGCCAAACTTCCTTACCCCGCAATCCTTCCCAATGATTGCGATTTCTTGGAACTGTCGGGGTGTTGGGAACCGGGAAACTATCCACCACACCAAATCTCTTCTTTCGGATAGGGAGGTGGGGGCCATTTGCTTCTTGGAGACCAAAACCAACAAAGCCGACAAACTCCTTAAGGTATTGCGTAATTTGGGTTTCGATAATTCGTTTATGGTTAATACTCTTGGTTTTGCAGGTGGTCTCCTCTTAGTTTGGAAAAAAAACATTCTTGACTTAGAGGTGGTTAGAAGTAATTCTCAGACCATTCACTGCAAGGTGAAAGAGGGTGGGATTCCCGATCTTACTTTATCTTTCGCGTATGTTAGGCCCAATTTAAGGGCCAAAGAAATGTTTTGGAAGGATTGCAAAGACTTCGGGTACTCTCGGTCGGGGCCGTGGGTCATGCTTGGGGACTTTAATGACATCGCTAAAATCAACGATCATTGGGGAAACGAGCAAGTGAATATGAACAATATTTCGAGGTTCTGTAATGCTTATGAAGAATGTGGCCTCATGGAAGTTAACTCGATAGGGCCTGTTTATACTTGGTTACGGCAGATTGGTGGCCGTACTGTTATGAGAAGAAAATTAGATAGGGTTTTCTGGAACCTAGATGCTCAACATGGTTTTCCAGAAGCCAAAAGCAAGGGTTCTCACCAGAACCCACTCTGATCACCACCCTATTTCTTTCATTAGTGTTGCAGGATCGGCCCCGGAGAGGAAAGATAGACCTTTCCGTTTTGAGGCAGCCTGGCTTACGCATCCGGAATACAAGGATGTTTGGAAATCGGCTTGGGGTGACACATCGGGAAACGTGGTGGGAGTCATCCACCAAGTGACGCTGTGGAGTAAAAAGTGGAATAATGATGTGTTTGGTAACATTTTTAAAAGGAAAAATCACCTTCAAAGTCGGATTAAAGGGATACAAATGTCTCCTTGGTATAACAATGCCCGTGGTCTCCAAATTTTGGAACATAAACTCATTCAAGAACTCAATTTGACACTGGCTCAAGAGGAGCTCCTTTGGTTTCAAAAATCAAGGAGGGCTTGGATTGAGGACGGGGATAAAAATACGAACTTCTACCATAAATCCACTATAATTCGAAGAAACAGATGGAGAATCCGGGCTCTAAATCTCAATGGTGAGTGGATATCTGACCCGGTGGTCCTTAAAGACCACGTAACTAGTTTCTTTTTTAATTTGTTTCACAGGAACAATTCAGAAGGGCAGAACGTCTCAGTTGAGCACCACGGATATAGCCTGGACACGGCCGAAGCTTCTACTTTAGTTCGGCGGGCTGATTCTGAGGAAGTTAGAAAGGCGGTTTTTGGTATGAAAAGAATGGGAAGCCCGGGCCCGGACGGTATCCAGGCAGCTTTCTATCAAGATTTCTGGGAAGTGGTTAGTAACCCCATTACGGATCTTGTCAACGAAGCTTTGATAACAGGTGAGGTACCGGTAAGTCTACTGGAATCCTTTGTCACGCTTATCCCCAAAAAGGATAATCCTGAGAGCGCGGCTGATTTCAGACCTATTACCCTTTTAAATGTGATATTTAAGATTATCTCCAAAGTTATTGTTAACAGGATGAGACCGTTTATGGATAAACTTGTGGGCCCCCATCAGAACAGCTTCCTTCCGGGAAGATCCATGATGGATAATATTGTCCTTACACAGGAAATCATTAATGGGATGAGAAATAAAAGAGGCAACAAAGGCTCTCTAGTTATGAAAGTGGACCTCCACAAGGCGTATGACAGCATTGATTGGAGTTTCTTAGAAAAAACGCTGAAAGACTTTGGGTTCCCTGATAGGTTGATAAAACTTATCCTCTTCTCCCTCCGAGAAAGCTCGATTAGTATTCTCTGGAATGGGGGGAAACTCCCGGCTTTTACTCCCGAGAGAGGCTTACGGCAAGGGGATCCGCTGGCTCCATATCTGTTCATTTTAGTCATGGAGAAATTGTCCATGACCATTCAGATTGAAACTAGAAAGAAGAATTGGAAACCTATCTATGTGGGCAGGGGAGGTTTAGGCGTGTCCCATCTCTTCTTTGCGGACGACCTGATGTTGTTTGGGGAGGCGTCTGAAGCTCAAACCAAGACTATCATGGGCTGCTTAAACTCCTTCTCTCGGCGATCAGGTTTGCACATTAACTTATCCAAATCCCTTATCTACTGTTCTCCTAACACTTCCAACAGGATTAAACGCTTGGTGGGGTCCACAGCCAACATTCCTGTGACAGAGAATCTGGGTAAGTACTTGGGTATCCCCATCCTCCAAAAAAGAGTTACTAAACACCATTTCTCTTATATTCTGGATAATATGCGTAAAAAACTGTCGAATTGGAAAGCTGGTTTCTTAAGTTTGGCAGGTAGGAGAATCCTGGTCCAGTCTGTCTTGGCCACTGTTCCGATTTATTCCATGCAATCTATGGCCCTGCCAACAGGTATTTGCAACGATATTGACAAAATATGAAGGGACTTTCTTTGGGGTTCAACTGACACTAAAAGAAAAATTCATCCCATCAACTGGAAAGAAGTGTGCACCCCCTGTGATGCTGGGGTCTGGGCATCCGCTTGGCTAAGGATTTCAATTTGGCCCTGTTAGCCAAACTAGCTTGGCAAATCATGAATAATCCTGAGAAACTGTGGGTGCAAGCTCTAAGGCACAAATACATTCACAATGATAATTTCTTCACTTCCCCAGCTCCCCCAAATGCTTCCTGGGGTTGGAGGAGCATCATTAAAGGAAGATCGGTAATTGAAACAGGAGCCCGATGGAGAGTGGGTAATGGTGAGTCCCTGGACTTTTGGTCTGATTGGTGGATCAATGACAAACCGCTTGGTCTTGAATCATCTATCGATATTCCGGACGGTTTCTCAAATACGAAGGTGAGTGACTTCATAACATCGGATCGCCGCTGGGACATGGCAAACCTACAGGGGGCTCTACCGGAAGTTTTTGTCAACAAGATTCGATCCATCCCCATTCCCTTGGACGTTAACACTTGCGACAAGCTAGTATGGCCAGACCATAATTCAGGTACGTTCTCGGTCAATTCTGCTTACAAACATATTGCAGGTTCTGTGTCTGAAGATGAGAGTTGGACCTGGGTCTGGAGGCTCAACGTGGTGGAGAAGGTGAAGACTTTCATTTGGATTCTTCTCAAAAATAGACTCCTTACCAACGATGAGAGGAGAAAACGCAATCTGACTACGGACAGCACTTGCGAGAGCTGCGGTAATGATGAAGAATCGGCATCACACTTATTCAGAGGTTGTCCTTTGGCGGTGGAATGTTGGGCGTTAGCTAAAGCGGGTGGAGGCACGGAGCTTGTGAGATTCTCCCCCCTAACCGATTCGATCAAGAAAAATTGCCAAAGTCATAGGGTCATGCATGATGGCACCTCATGGAGTTCAACCTTCGTGTACATCCTTTGGCCTATCTGGAAGGCAAGGAATAATCTGGTTTTCAACAGAAAAAGAGATTTGGCCACTCGCATCATGGAGTCGGCACGTAACATGGCTACCGAAGCGCGGGTTTTTATCGCAAAAAACAAAGGAATGACCATGGGGAAATTTCGTTGGGTAAACTGGATTTCACCCCAACCCGGTTGGATGAAATTAAATACAGATGGGTCTTTCAAAGCGAATACGGGTCTAGCTAGCGCTGGGGGCCTCTTGCGAGATGCTAATGGTAGGTGGGTTAAAGGGTTTGTTACTAAAGTCGGCCTTACTGATAGCTTCTCGGCAGAACTGTGGGGCATAAGGGAGGGTCTACGGCTCTGTCTGGAAGAAGGCCTAGACAAGGTGTGGGTTGAGATGGACTCAGCGGCGGTGGTGGCCATAGTTTTGGGTGGGGCCAATCGGCTAGACACCATGGAAACTCTGGTGAAAGATTGCTTGGAAATCATGGACAATATTCCAACTTCGCGGATTTGCCACATCAATAGGGAAGGAAACAAATGTGCTGATTGGTTGGCCAACATGGGGCAGGATATGGTGTAACACCCCAGATTTTCAGGATATTTAAAACTTATAAAATAAAGGTGAAATCTCGATGAATCCCAAAACATAGTACAAGAGTATGGGGTGCTATACTACACCTAAGCTAGAGAACTCAGGTGCACAGGCTAACTAACTAATATCCTCAAATAGTATCAGTACTAAATCATGGCACGCAGGCCGAAAGGGAAAAACTATCTAAGCTACGTCCAAGCTTCTAGCGCGCTCCAGTGAACTACTCGTCTGTGCCTGAAAGCCAAATATATCTGTTCAGCGAGAGATGCTGGTAACCCACTCCAACGCGTTGAAATACAATACGTATAGAGATATATATAGATATACGAAAACCATTTTAAAGCATGAAGATATATCCTATGAGACTCTAGCTTTTAAAACCGGGAATGACTCGACAGATAAGGCTAGACACAAGCAACAGTTATAACAGGCGTATACAATCCACAACATGCAAGACAGATAAAGCTGAGCATAATTAATAATCATAACCCAACATAAACGATCCCCAGCATAAATCCCTTAGTCACATCCCCCATTATACTCATAAACACAATTCCTCCATATCTCATCACATAGCACACTTTGTTGGCGCCACGGGACCAATCGCATGCCCATACATGAGGGTCAGCGCATATAGCTCTGACACGGTCCCGCAGCACCCTGCCCCGTCTCACATTACGGAGGAGCCGATCGCAACCGACTGATGGACCTTTGTCCTACATAATATTTATATACCTGACCGATCTTTACCAGCCTGGTTAACAGTTGGGATGGTTCTCAGCCCATTCAACTGCCCGTATAGTGGACCTTTGTCCTATATAATATTTATATACCTGACCGGTCTCTACCAGCCTGGTTAACAGCCGGTATGGTTCTCAGCCCATCCGACTGCCCGTATAGTGGAACTTAGTCCTATATAATATTTATATACCTGACCGGTCTCTACCAGCCTGGTTAACAGCCGGTATGGTTCTCAGCCCATCCGACTGCCCGTATAGTGGAACTTAGTCCTATATAATATTTATATACCTGACCGGTCTCTACCAGCCTGGTTAACAGCCGGTATGGTTCTCAGCCCATCCGACTGCCCGTATAGTGGAACTTAGTCCTATATAATATTTATATACCTGACCGGTCTCTACCAGCCTGGTTAACAGCCGGTATGGTTCTCAGCCCACCCGACTGCCCGTATAGCCCGATTGATCTTAACCAACTCGGGGTTACATGCACACATAACACATAGCAGGTACATGCAACCCACGGGAAGGGGGAGAAAACGTATAACAAAACCTATGCGTGATCCATCACATACTAAGAATAGTCCTAAGGGGTTCATACTTCTTCCACCTAGGTCAACGGGATACCAATTCAACTAGCATGCAATATAATAGACTCATAAACCTACGAACGGTACCCGAAATATCAAACTAGACATAGGCACGATAAACGGAGTCCGTTGGGACACCACGGGGGACGGGGAAACATCAAACGGGGAAGCCGGGAACCCAAGATGGGGAAAATTCCAGCGGGTAGCCGATGGGTGGGGGGCCACCCGCCGGCTGCCCGCCGGATTCACTATTCCGGGCAGCGGGTCGCCGGCGGGCAGCTGCCCGCTGTCGGGATCACCATTCCAGCCGTGGGTAGGTGGCGGGTCCCCTACCCCCCACTGACTCTTATCACACAATTTCGCCCCGGGAACCATTGTGGAACCCGAAACCATGCTTAGACACTTTACAACGCAGTCAACGACAACACGTAGACAATTAACGGATCAAATACGAGAAACGAACGGCACATAACCTATCATGCTTTTCTAAACATAATCAACACCCAAACATGCGATTACCCCACCCGATAATCCAAGAATAATATCATACGATACAACCTAGGGTTCTAATCATTTTTATATCAACAAGAATACGATTCGCCTTCTAATTGCAAGATTCGGTAGGAATAACACATAAGCATCAAGGGCATCACACAATTATCAAGAACAACACATAATCATCAAGAACTCCATATAATCATCAAGAACATCATAATTATCAAGAATCTCCCAATATCAAGATTATCAAGATCCCCCATGAGATCATCACATCAATCATCAATAATAATCATCACAAGTCATTAATACACAATAATATGGGGAAACCCTAAGGGGGAATCATAACTATGAAAATAGGTTTTGTTGAGACATGGGTTACCTCTTAGCCTTAATTAATTCCTTGGCTATGAAGGATCTTTCTTTAAGCTTTCTTGATTTCTTGATTTCTCCTAAGGGGATTCTTGGAACTCTTTGGGTGGTGAGAGATTATTGTGGTGGGGATTCTAGGTGCCTCCTAAGTTCCCTATTTATATATTTAAGACTCCTAGTTAGGGCCTGAATGGTATGGGTTTACTAATTCTATTCCTTATAGGGCTAGGGCTTGTTTTAGGGATAAGGGTCCATGGTCCATAGTGGACCATATTAATTAAAGAGGATCCTAATCATAATCTGAATAGTAAAAGGCCTACTTCCTTTATTCCTAACAGGCTTAAGATTCTTATTCGGGCAAGGGTCCACGGTTCATGGTGGACCTTACTAATTAATTAAAGGTAAACCTAACATAATTAAATCATATTTAATTATTATTAACGAGATTAATTAAATAATTAATCCGGGATTGAAGGCCGTAACACGGGGTGTTACATATGGACTGGGGGACAACCATTCTGGAGAACGCTCCAGCCGAGCTTGCGGATTTAATTCGGGCGGATGCTTGTAACACTCCTTACTTAAGGATTAGATAATGCTCTCTTGAGAGCCTCAATGTCACCAAAAAAAAATAGTAATTGTAAGATAGGAGAAGACCGAAGAGTTGAAGATCTGAGAAATTAAAGACTGGAGAGTTGAAGATTCAAAAAGTCAAATGTACGAAGAGTAAACCTCATATTATTTATTTCCAACTCATAGAATAATTTTAATTTTGTATTATATAAAAAAAATCATTTTAATTTTGTATTATATGAAAATAGATACTTGACTAAATATATGGAAGTTCAAGTGTATTATTATATTGAACATGGTAATATCTTTTATTTTTTATATTTTTTATTTATATTTTATATTTATAATAATAAAATCATTATATTTATAAATGTTTATTTTTAGGAAGTTTTTAACCTTTTTTGAATGCTATTGGCTCTATTACAATGTAGTATCTATCCATATATTTTCTCAACCTATAATGCTTTCAGGAACCTTCCAAATGGAAGTCCAACCCGGGTACCATTAGACTACATAGTCTTGGTAAAAAATCTTTTTAACCTAATTATTCTTATTATCATAACATAACAATAGTACTTATAATGTATAGGCCGTGCATCGCACGGGGCAAATACTAGTATATATATATATATATTCAGTTTCCGTGCGGTTCTGCGGTTAAATATGTGACATTGATTTTTCTTAAACCAATGTTCAGGATTATCAAAATTTAAAAAAAAAAAATGTGGCGGCAATTTGGTAATTTTTGCATCTAGGTCAAATTTAAGGTGCATGGTTTTCCTTCTTAAGGTGCGTGGTTTTTGTGCTTAAGGTGCATGAGTTTTGTGCTTAATGTGAGTAGTTGTTGAAACTTAAAGTGCATGATTTTTGTGCTTAAGGTGCGTGGTTTTTATGTTTAAGGTGCGTGGGTTTTGTGCTTAAGGTGCATGAGTTTTGTGCTTAATGTGAGTAGTTGTTGAAACTTAAGGTACGTGATTTTCATTCTTAAGGTGCGTGATTTGTATGCTTAAGGTGCGTCAGTTGTGTGAAACTTAAGGTGAGCCATTTTAAAACCTTAGGTGCGTGATTTGTGTTCTTAAGGTGATTTGTTGTGTGCTTAAGGTGCGTGGTTTGTGTACTTAAGGTGCTTTGTTTGTGTGCTTAAGGTGCGTGGTTTGTGTACTTAAAAATCTTCTTATCAATCCTAGTAAAACTAATGGAAAATATGTCTCCTTACCAAATGGAAATAAAGTGTAACACCCCGTGTTACGCTATTTAAGCTCGGATTAATTATTTAATTAATTCCGTTAAAGAATAGTTAAAAGAACTTAATTCAGTCAGGATCCTTTAATTAATTAATATGGTCCATGGAGGATCGCGGACCCTTACCCATATTAAAGTCCCAAGCCTCTTAGAATAAGGAAATAGGGTCCACTATTAATTAGACTCTGATTAGGATTCCTAAACCTATATAAAAGGGATTAGAAAGCCTTTAGAACCTTTCCCTCCCACCTTCTCCTCTACCACTCGAAAATCCCCTCCCGGAGTTCAGACAAAGAATTCCCCATCACCAAGCTTAGGAAAGATTTTTAGGAAGAGGACTTGGAGGAAAGACCCTAGAAGTCGTAAGAAGTTTAATCAAGGCAAAAGGTAACACATGTCTTACAAAACCTATTTTCCTTGCCATCTTTTATTGATTGGCTCCTTTGAATGATTGGCTCCTTCTATAGAGAAAATAGGTTCTGGAAAATATCTCAATTATGGCGGTAAAACTCGATTTGTTACAGAGAGGATAACAACCTCTATATATATATATATATATATATATATATATATATATATATATATATATATATATAGATGTTGGAAGAGTAGTTCTAACTCCTAACAGAATGCGGGAAGGGGAAAATACAATGATACCCTTAGCTATAAACGCCCTTCCTGGCTAACTTTTATTTTTATCCGCTAACATGATAAATCACTGGGCAAGAACCTTCGGACACTTGGGATTCCATTTCTATTTTTTTGGGTGTACTCAGGATTTTCACCGTCGAACATAGTGACTAATCCCATTGTTGAATTGTAGGCACCTCTTTTTGGTGGGACAACTGGCCTAGAGTTTTAAGGTTGCTCCATACCCATAGCCAATGATCGAACCCTTGACTTTTGGTTAAGGATGGATGAATCCCTTCCACTCAACTGCATCCCCAGATTAGGGATTCCCTTTCTATGATAGAATATCAAAATGCTCTAAGATTCTTTTTTAAGGATTCGTTTGGAAACCTTCCAGAAGTCATTTTTTGAAAATTTTTGTGTTTTGCTACTCAAACAAAATAATAAAGTCAAAGGAAAGTCAATATTCTGGTTAACGGAATAAAGTACAATTTGATAGAAAATATTTTCTTAAATTTTTAATAAGGAGACACTTTTCGAATAATTTATTTTCCTGTCTCTCTCCTTTCTTTTATTTTTATGCAAGCTAATTTTCATAATATTACTGTGACAACCCAAAAATAATTTTCTTAAATCCTATTTTACAAAATTCTAAAATATTTATTTTCACTCTTTTAAATTTTTTTTCGAAAACGGTGTATAAATTAAAATATTTTAAATTGAGTTTTTAAATAAATTCAACACCAAGAGTTATCCTATTTCAAAAATCCAAGTTTCGGGTATATTTATGTACCAAGTTTTGACCCATAAAGTCAATCTGAGTGAAACCGGAAAGGAACTTGTGGAACCTGAACTAAGTGTTTTTAATTAGAAACTATTTTCAGAAAATCTATTTTTGACCCTAAGTTATCCAAAATTATTTTTGAGACTTTAATCCATGATGCAAGGTGAACTTAAATATTTCTACAAAACTTTGTCTGATCTTTATAGAAGCAAGCAAAAATTACTCATTTTCCCTCAACCAATCATTTGAAATCAACCTGGGGTTTTGCACCCATTTAAATAGAACAGTAGCCCTATGTTTTCTCCTGATCCCTTTCATTTGCCACTCCACTCTTTGAGCTCTGTAGAAGGAGGAAGAAATCACAGTAAGGTTCCCAAGCTCTCATCTCATCCATTCATTCCATATTTCCTTCTAAGTTTTCCATCCTTTGCCTCCAATCTCTGAGATTTGTACGTATTGTTTGTTTGAGATGTTTAGGTGATAAAGAAATAAGTCAACCCTACTTTATGACCCTAGGTAGTAAATAACGATAAAGAAATAAATTAGTCTATGTTATTCATAACTGATCGACTCAAACCAACAAATTAAAGTCAATAAGTCCCTCCCAATGAGAGTTACTTGAACTTAATAAAGCGCACCTTGTTATTTATCTCCGAACCATTTTCCACTTTAAAGCTCACTCTGCTGATACGGCTAGTCCTTAATTTCGCAGTTGAATGTAGAATGTTGTTTCGTTGATTATCTTGTTGGACAGAGATCAAGTCTTTAAAGGGTCCAAATCTGTAGACCAAATCAAAAACTTCTTTCTGTCGATGTAATACTACAATATGGAAAATTAATGTTCTGCTCTTTACTGTTGAATTCCCACAAAAGATCCGGTTTGCTGTTAAGAATCATGATTAGAAACTCAACATTCCCTTCTTTTGCAGCATAATGAAGAATCTCTGCCTTTTTTATTTTCCCCGCCAGCGTTTCCTCTGCTAATTTAAGATACTCAGCCCAGATCATTTTAAGTAGCCGCCTTGCTAATGTTTTTTCTTGAATGGTATCCCACACTGTATAGTAATCAATTACAAGTAGTTTATTCAGACTTAATTTTGTGTGTCTGTCATCTATAGCCTATAGGAGAGAATTTATATATATAGGTCTTACAACGTGGAGAGATCACAGCACAAATTGAGCCCAGAAATCTTTGCCAGGTTCTTTCTGCTAGAGCCTTTCGAGCTAACAGATGCAAGAATGTTCGGTTCTTTGAGTATCATATTCTTTAGTGGCTAATAGTGGATCCTGGTCTACGATTTGTAATGCGGTATCTACACTGACAAAGAGTTAATCTATACATGATCCACAAAACATTAGAAAATTATGTGTTAGTAAAAACAACAGTAACATTTTGATATAGGGTCACGTTTCTATGCGACCGTGTAGTCACTTACCATTAGGTGTGCATAAATGCATCACAAAGTGTTCGGAAATGCATCATGAGGTGTGGTGTAATTTTTTGGTGTGTGGTGCATTTTTTGGTGTATTTGTACATTTTATTCTGGTACATTTTCAGAACCACTCACAGACGTCCACGTGTCCAGTTCTAACGGATTAAAAACACTGATTTTCTAAAAAAAAAAATGCGGTGTCATTTTTGTAAATAATTAAACATTGAAGTGCAAGTAAATTGTGTTAAAAGTGCAAGTAACAGTTTCATATAGTGCACCTAAGTGCAAGTAAAATGTATTAAAAGTGTAACAAATAATTTACAATAAGCATCAATATTAAGTGCACCCAACGTTATCATTAGTTGCACCAAATGTTATCATTAAGTGCACCAATGTGAAAGATGTTATCATTATGTGCACAAATGTTAACAAGGTAAATTACTTGCACTATTTAGTGAAAATAGTTGTACTTTTTATTGATTTTACTTGCAAATTTTCATCAGTTACTTGCACTTTTAACATATTTTACTTGCACTAAAGTTTAAGTTATTTACAAAAATACCACCGCGTCGTTTTTTAAAATTACATCTGATTCATTAAATCTGGACACGTGAACGGTTGCGATTGATTCTTAGTTCTTTCCTGGCCACCCGTTCTCACGTGAGCGCGCCCCTATATATATTTATTGGTTAGGCATGAGGTGTCTTCAGTAGGCCCTAACTGTAGGAGACACCTTTATGCTCGTACCATGATCTCTAATTTTTAATGGATCAGATTTGTCCACACGGACTCATGGAAAGGAGTGGACTCACTTGAATAAGGACATATATATATATATATATATATATATATATATATATATATATATATATATTAGAGGACTATTCTTTTTTTTTTGAAAGATATTAGAGGACTATTCAATTGCATTTCTTTTACCATTTTTTGTTTAAGCGTTCAATTATACTATTTGCTTTACTTATAGGGTTTATTTGTTTTTTTACTTGCTAGGCTAATCACAAAAACTTAAATTGCATGTATACGACATATAATATTTTTGTAGTGAAATGTATGTAATACTCTTTTATATATCCAAGTAAAGGTATTATATTTAAAAATAATAATTATTACATTTTTTTAATGTTAAGAAAAATCACAATCACTACTTGAATTGGGTAGTGTGTAGAAAGTAAATCTGGTCTTGTGGTCTTCGTGGACAAAGGACAGTAGAAGGTAAATCAGTCTCAACTTAGTTGATTTTAATTTTTAAGTTTTACTACTAAATATGATTTTACACCAAACCTAACTTTAGATGATTTTAATTTGGGATGAGAGAGAGAGAGTAGAGTATTGAATTGCATACCATACATATCGTAGCGAATGGTAGCTTGAAGAAGCTGAATGCGATCCGCCTCCAACAACATCTCAAAAGGTGTTTTTTGAAAGAGATAAGCAACCATTTTCTTATGCCCTCTCAGAGCTGCATGATTGATAGGGAGCTTCCCAATATCATCTGATGATTTATCCTTAGACCGGATAGTTGGCAGCTCTTTGTTCTTCTCAACCATAACCTCCGCGTTCTCCACAACTCCTGATAGAACCGCAAGATAGAACGCAGAACACCCTAACGTATTTTGCTGTGCCAATATGCACCCGCTTTCGTCGTCTCCCCTCTTCTTCAGAATCTTCACTAGCTTCCCCACAAATTCTTTGTTTTTTCCGGCGGCTGCAATGTGAACAACTGTTTCGTTTCTTATCGTGATGCTATGAGTAGCGCACTCTGGATGTTCTTTCAGAATTTTTTCAGCTCTTGTCCAGTTGCCCTTTATGGTAGCATCAAACAGATCTTTGTGTCTTTTTTCTTCGGCTGTTTTGATATCTGATGAAAATTAAATTTCAGGGGAGCATTATTATTATATTATAAGTAATCCTCCATCGTGAAAGTGTGTGGAAGAGTGGATCGGATGGGAGTTAAGGATAATTACCGTACCGTGATGTGGTTTTTCAACATCAGGGGGTTTAGCCAAGTGAAAACCGCAGAGGGTTGCTGATATCTTCTCCATTGGTCTTTGCTTGAACAATTATCAAGGATAGTTTTGTAAGTATGCAGTGGTGTGCAACTAACTAAGCTATGAGATTCGGGAACAAGTTAGAATAATATATATAGAAAGGGCAAGTCTCATGTAAGACCGTCTTACGGGTCTCAATTCGTGAGATAGGTCGAATTTGATAAAAATGAATCATAACAGAATTATTTATAAGTGTATTAATAAATACTTAAATTTGAAAGGAATAGAAATTTGTCTCATATAAGAAATGAGTTTGTCTTATATAACGAATAAGAGTGGAGCAGATTAGGTCAAACCCATTGTATATAGATAGATACCTATAAATACATTAGTTGTATCACCATCACAATTAAATTTGTCTCATATAAGGAATAGAAATTTGTCTCATATATAAGGAATAGAAATTTGTCTCATATAAGAAATGAGTTTGTCTTATCTAAAAACATAATAAGTCTCAATTAAAGTTATATCCCTCATTTATGTCCATATTTTTAATGCTAATCATTTTGTACATTGTGCTTCTAAAGTTGTACTATACAATTTTTTGGACAAAAATACCCTTACCGTTATAACTTCCGTTATCTTTTCCGTTACTTACCATGCACATGAATCTGCCATATCTTTTCTTATATTCTTTAATTATAACAATATTTGTAAAACATTATATATTCATTATATATTAGATTAATATAATAAATAAATTTTATTTCACTTTGATTTTAATTAGTAAAAATTTATTAGTTATTTTTAAAAATATAAATATTGGGCATATGTTTTTGCGCATCGCGCATAGAAAAGACTAGTATAAAGAATAAGAGTGGAGCAGATTAGGACGAACCCATTGTATATAGATAGATGCCTATAAATACACTAGTTGTATCCTTGTGTTAGTTGTATCACCACTAGTATCACCATCACAATTAATAAAAAATTAGTTTAACACAATTAATAAAAGATTAGTTTAACTCTTGTGGACGTAGACACATTGCCAAACCACGTAAATATTGTCTTCTTTACATTCTTCCATTATTATTATTATTATTATTATTATTTCTTGTTGTTGTTAATCTCAATAAATTGGTATTAGAACCAAATAACAATTTCGAGTTCCAACAATAACATTTAAGACTGGTTGGTGTTGGGAGGAGGAATTGTTGGGTGGAGGCCGGTAAAGGCCAAGTCTAGCACCCGGTGGTTTGGGATTGTTGGGCGGGGGTCAGTATAGGCCAAGTCCAACACCCAACGCCTCGAAAATGTGATGGTAGTCTATAAGGAAATAAAGTTGCACCTTCGCAACGAGCTATAGCTTTTAGCGTAGTGGTAAGCATGTAATCCCAACAAATTGGTATCACAGCTTTGATGAGATGACCAATTCAAGTGCAAAATTCAAGGTATCAAAGTTTGATGGTATATAGAATTTCATGTTATGATAGTTTAGGGTAAAGGATTTGTTGGCATAATAGGGCCTTTAAAAACCTTAAAGGTAGACAAACTAGCTTATCTATCAGAGGCTGATTGAGAGGATTTGAAGGAAAGTACGACATGAATCATTTGGTTATGCCTCACAAATTAAATCGTGTATCACGTTATGGCCTTGGAAACTCTAAAATAAATTTGGGATAAATTGAAGATTGAATTCATGGAAAAATCTTTAATGAACACATTGTATCTAAAACAAAAATTTTATGGGCTTAAGATGTAGGAGGGTTCAGACTTGGTGCATCATATTAATGTCTTCAGTCAAATAATCTCAAATCTGACCAGGCTTGATATCAAGATTGAAGATGAAGACAATGTGATGATCTTGTTATGTTCACTGTCTCTTTCCTTTGAACATCTGGTACTACTCTTACATACGAGAAAATCACGATTAAATTCAATGAGGTCTCTGCAGCCCTTTTGGCTCATAATGAAAGTAAGCAAAATGCAAGAGCGCATTGTTGGTGATAGTTTATATGCAAGGGAGAGTCAACAGGATCGTGGAAGGAATCAAGAAAAGGATAATTCAAAGAAGAGAAATAACTCTAGTTCTAAGCCAGAAATAGCAAGAAAATTCGATGCAACAAGTGTAAGGAGATTGGGCACATGAAAATAGACTATCCAAAGTTGAAAAAATAATAAGAGGCTCCGAACATGTTATATGATGATGACTCATATTATAGTGAAGGTAATGTTATAGCAATTACTAGTGACAAGATTGAACATTGTTTGGACTTGTTGGGTGTTTTCAGATGCTAGATGAGTATTTGAAGGGTGCTGTAGCGATGGGCAGCACGGGTGTTGGGTGGGGAGAGGACCTAGCTTGAGTCGCGGGCGATATGGTAGGTCTAAGTAGTTCGTGAGCATGCACTGGGGTAACGCTAAATGGTGCGTGGTGCATGTGGCTAGCCAATTGGGATTAGCATGTGATAGATTAAATTATTTCAAGCCGGGTGAAAGTGACCGGGAATCCAAGTATAGGTGAAATAATATCGTAGAGAATTTAAGTAAAGGCCTAACTACCAAGAACCTTGTACCCAGATGGCATGTAATGACTCTCCCATATGAGAGGTCATGAGAACGAGCCTCAGTGGAGGCGATGTTGACTCTTTGTGCTTCAACAGGTTCAGAAAGTATAGATGAACAGATACTACAATGTAATAGAGTCAGTAGCTTAAAAAAAAAAAAAACAAAGGCCTAACCATATGATTGGTCCCAAAAGGTACAATAAATGTCCTATATATAGAGGGGAAAAGGGGACAAATGTCGAGTGCTCGGCATGCCCTCCACATGTCCCAGGTGGATTCGGTGGTGAGGTTATGCTTGCCCAGTGTCCTGGGGAAAAGGAGACATATGCCGGGTGCTCAGCATACCCTCTACATGTCCTAGGTGGATTCGGTGGTGAGGTTATGCTTGCCCAATGTCCTTAGAGATTGTACACATTAAGGGGTGCTTGGAGACCGGGAGGTAGGCATGTACTCTCAAGATCGAGAAATGCACTAGTGAGGTCGAAAAATACACTAGTGAGTCCTGTAGGGCAATTGGGTTGCCCTATAACCCTATCAGCATGAGTCGCAACCAATATGGTAGGTCGACGGCTGAGGGTGAACGGCCTAGGATGAAGCAGTTGGAAACGTTTGATGTTGCGTGGTACATGTGACTGCTCAATTGGGATGAGCATGAGTCGTGATCGGTATAACAAGTTGACGGTCGAGGGCAAACGACTTTGGATGAAGTAGTTTGTGAACATGCACTGGGGGGGGGGGGGGGGACAGTAGATGGTGCGTAGTGCATATGGCTGCCTAGTTGTGATAAGCATGGTTGCTCTGACCAATATTTATATGTAAGATAAGTCTTTTCTCCTAAAGCACATATATTAAATTCGTAAAGGTGGAGATTGTGAGATAAGTATTTTCTCTTAAAGGGCATATTCACCAATATGAATTTGTCTCATATAAATAATAGGAGTTTGTCTCATATAAGGAATAGGAGTGAAGCAAATTGGGTCGAGCCATTGTATAGGGATAGATGCCTATAAATACATTGACTTATCCTTAGGTGTTGTATCACCATCAGCATCACCATCACAAATAATAAAATAATTATTTAACTCCCGTGGGTGTAAATAGACACATTGCCGGACCATGTAAATCTTACCTTTTTTATTTTATTTTTTTGTCATTATTCTTGTTAATCTCAACAAAGGGTGACTCCCACATTGTGGCTGCTAGGGCTTGTTGGGCGGAGGTCAGTAAGGGCCAAGTCCAGCATCATGTGGCTAGCGAGATTGTTAGATGGAGGTCGGTAAATGGCCAAGTCCAGTACATTCGTTACAAGATATAACTTTTGACGTAGTGGTAAGTGCTTGATCCTAACAATGGTATCAGAGTCAGGACACATGTTTAAGTTTCAACAACAACGTTTAAGTCTAGCTGATGTTGAGAGGGGGATTGAGTCCCAACAATAACATTTAAGACTAGTTAGTGCTGAGAAGGGGATTGATGGGTGGAGCCCGGGCGCTTGATCCTAGCAAGGTTCAATCCTGTTTTTGCTTATAATTTATTCCTAAATAGCTTCTCACTAATTCAATCTTGATGGGAAATTTTGAATATTTATCATTTTTTAATTTAAAAATACATTTACAGTACATTAATTTTGTACTTAAAACCCTTCCATTTGTCATTATTAGACTTTATTTGACCTAGGTTATTTTAGAGTTTATAATTATTTTAAGTTATTAATAAGGCAACAACTCAGTTTGATTTAAAAAAAAAAAAAAAAAAAAAAAAAAAAGAAGAAGAAATCTTTAAATAAACTCAAATGGCGCTTAGCGCTTGACACTAAGTTAGGAGTTGTTAATTAATTTCTGTAATTTTATTCTTATTAATTTATTGAAAGAATTTCTATTGTACTCATAACCACATTTTCAAAATATCTACTTTGTCTATATATGCAAGCTACAGGTAGGAATCAAAATCAAAATGCTGACCTTATGTCCTATTCATGCATGCTAGAAATCAGACCATGCCAATTCTTAATAAATGCGGAATGGACATGCTAACTATCTATCTATAAAGAATGGAAAAATTTCATGTAGCAATAAATATCCTTGTTTTCTGTCACGTTTAATATCTATGATTCTTGTTTTATAAAACAAAATTAATCTTACATAAATCGTCGCAAAATCAAATCAACTAGGCTTATAATATTGAATAGAGAAATAATCTCATTTAACAAAATTTCAAAGGAGTGCAAATTCAACTAATAACAAGCGAAGAATTAGATTCTTCAATACTGAAAAAGTTCAGAGTGGTTATTGCACGAGGCATTCTACTCTCATCATTTCAAATGGTATCCATACATAGATTCACCTTCCTCTACACTTCCTTCTTCATTTCTTAGATTCTCTTACCTTTAAGAATTTCAATGCATAAATTTTCAACTAATTTGGCTATAACCATCCTGACAACTCCCAACCTGAATTCGATCATCCAATTCAAAAACAACATTTTTTTCATCCTCTGCCTTTTCTTGTACAAAACAATGGAGAAACGTCACGGACCTCTCATGTAGTAGACACTAAGAATGTTTATACCGCTTAGGGAAACTTCTAGTCTACTTTAAATATTGTGCATCTTGTTGTTGTGTG